GGGACCTAATTAACCAGTGAAGATGAATTAATCTTCAAGTAAGATAAAATATGATTATTCTTTCATAAGTAATTCAACTTTTTATTGTTAGTACCTTCTATATCTTGTTAGCAATTTTATTCAACAAAATATTTTAATTTTTACAGTAAATACAATTATAAAAAAAGTGCTTTGTAAATAACACCAAACATCTTATGTACATGGAAACAAAATGATTTAGTAATATTAATCTATACAGTTAAAAGAATAACAAAAATAAAACAAATGTTGTTAATCCAGGTTTCAATCGGCGCAGTAAACATGATAACTAAATAACTATTGTAATTAAAATCATTATACATACTATTATTAAACATTCTGAACTGCGGGTGCATTAAAACGGACGGCCATTGAATTAATTATAAGTGTTATTATGGAATCAAGTGAGCTGAAACTGACATCACACCATGATTTAAACGTCTAGGTGTGTCCAACGGATTACCAACAATAAGAATGTATGATAATGTCTTAAGTCCACAATCATGCTAGTGAAGTAGGTCCAACTTTTAGAAAAATACATGGTATTTAAATTTAGTCAGTGGTTATTTTTTGGCGCCTAATATCATTCTTATATTTTTAACATACAGGAATTTGTTTTCAAGAAAACATACGGTTTCGCTGTTTACATGTCCTCATGCTCTCATGAAGTAGAAACGTGGTGTTAAAACAGGATTGTAGTGAAATTCGTGACTCAGGTGTTTAAACGATTAATATTCACTCCAGTTTTGTTACAGTCAGTCATTGACTAGATAACTATCATAGGAGTTTAATTTTTCAATCTTCTGTCATTTTTTGCAATTTCAAGTGAGCTAAAGATTAGATTAATTATCTAGGCTATCTGATTTCTAATAATTCAAATTATAGAACAAATGTCTGTTTATTACTAACTTTAAGACTATTATATATATATCAACATTCTATATAAGTCAGAATTCTATAAAATATTACACTAATTGCATTAATTCGTATATTCATTACTGCTTTGCACCATATAGTATATACTTGCATTAGTTATGTTTAATTTACTGTAAAAAAACTAAACAATTTGTGTTAAGTACAACACAACAAGTATGGGCTAACAAAAGAGGACTCAAATGTGTTGGCTGGTGCACAATGTTTTTGTTGAATTTTATGCAATTTATATAAACATAAAAATATGTGACTTGACAATACAACAGTGTATTTAAATAATCACTGAACTGAAAACCTCATCTCATTTGTGTTGTTATAAAACACACAAAACTGCCATCTGTCGTCTTATATGCCCCCCAGTGGCACAGCGGTATATCTGTGGACTTACAACGCTAGAAACCGGGTTTCGATACCCGTTGTCATTCATATGAACAAAAACAACACAAAAAATTATGAGACACTTTGTTTTGTTTGTAGTTTAAGCACAAAACTACACCATGTGCTATCTGTGCTCTGCCTATTTTCCTGTCACACAAGTATAAGATAAAAACAAAATAAAAAACATACAGATACACTTGTACCAGTATACGACGCTTCATATTCCACACGAAGATGTAAAAATTGCAATAAAAAATGTTAACACACTGAAAAGATATATATCTTAGTTTATAGTATAACTCACCTATAGGCACAAAAATGTACAGTTTATTTGCCACTACAAAATTTGTAATTACATTACTAAACTTTACACTGCTGCATAAATACTTATTTATATACAACACACATAAAAGGATAAATATCGTGTTTACTTGCGTTTAGCACAGTTCGCTCAATAGCTTCAAGATATGAACAGTCTTTGGTACTTTATTTTGTTCCTTATCATCTGTTTCTGACATAATTCATCCTTCGAAAAACAGTGTGTTTGTATTCGTAATGCCTAACAGAGGTCAAAGATCTTTTTAAATGTTCCGCTTGCGCTCTATTGGTTAATATTATCTTGTGACGTCAAACAATTGGAAACACTAACCCTACGCGTCATGTGACGCGTCTATTAAATGTTACTACGCCTCTGAGCTCGAAAGTCGTACAAGGTGGGGTACATTGAGATCATATGAAAGGTAGATGTTTTACAATACATTTTATTTGCTAGACTGAATATCTGAGTTACATTTATTTTTGTAATATTAAACTGAAGAAGAGTTTAGAACTATGTGTTTTATGTGAGAAGTGATACAGTTTTTTTTGTTTTAGAAACGCTTGGGGCGTTAGAATTTGTTTCTTCAATCTCGACGAATATTGCCACTGCCGGACAGAGAGCGAGAGTGTGTGTGTTGTCTACCAAATATCTCTGACGTGACCTGGAAACGGACCCTGGAAATGGCTCTGGACATCATCGACGGGATCTTTTACAATTTCGAAGAAAATTATTTGAATGACATCTGGAACACAGATCCAGCGGAGCCGGTGAGTAAATTGATCATTAACCGTAGTTCATATATGGTTGTTGTTGTTTTTTTACTAACGTGTAGTAAAAATTTTTGAAACATTTGAAGGTTACGTAATATTCGTGAAATGTAAGTTTTTATCTTTAAGAATTAGAAGCAATTTGTAAGGAAATAAACCACCTATATGATAATGTAAGAAATAAAAACAGCATATATATGACATTACACACGTGGTTTCTCCAGGCATAGTCAAAGCATGTTTAGGCCTACGCCCACCTGTTGTTGCCGCTGGTCTCTAGACGTCTTTCAGCAATACCAAAATTGCAGATATTAGCCTACTGGTACAACAAACGCGTATCTTTTCTTAATAGTTTAGACCTATTGTAAATACATTTTTTTTCCAAAATAGTGATAATAACAAACAAAAAAAGAAATTATTGAAGCATTCAACATATTTATAGAAGAACACGAGTTTGTTTCAGCCTTTAGTACCATATGGAAGATTATTATTAATTTTCTTCTGTAATCACTTACTCCGAATTTTTTTTTTTTAGCATTTTTTCTGTTGCCCATATTATAATATAGCTTACATCCAAGTTATTTGTTATTTTAATTAATTCAATGTTGTAAGATAATATCACTTTTCCATTTTGGAGAACTCTTCAGATATTTCAATGTTCTCTAAAATATGTTGTCAGTTTATTTATTTATTTTTTATTTAAAGTTCATTCAAAGTACTTTCATCATTACGTTTTTTTTTCTTTTTCTCGCGTTTTCGAAAATTTTACTGACAGTTTTGTCTTATGTTTTTTATCTTTTACATATTGTATTTTGAAAACGATTAACTTAATAATCCTAATTCACTTTTGTTTCACAAAGTTGTCTTAAATTTTGTTCTACAAGTCTGTTTTCTGAAAAATAAATGGTTCTATTTGTAATTCTTTTGTTACTTCGTCTTCGAAAAATCTGGACAGGTTTGGTAAATTTTATTTAAATGCAGTCTTTCCTTTTTTTTCGTGTAAATATTCTGCAATACGCGAAACAATATATATACATATTCTTTTTTAGTGGAAAAATAATTGTCCATTATCTTTCTTCAATAGATGATCACCATTTCCATCTATGAAATTATACCCGTGATTAAGTAGTTGTTGGTCTTTAACAATACCTTAAAACCCGAAAATTTAATTCCTACCAATACTAAGCTAGGAAGAAAAATGATTATTATACCCATGAAAATACCTAACTCTGTGAGAATTCTGTATGGCACACTTTGTGCTACAAGTACTGATACTGAATCATATATCTCGTATGTAGTATAGGCAGTCATTATATTGAAATATTAAAACATGATTACGTTATATGACTTTTTAGACAGTTGCCCATCATCAAAAATTCTGTTATTTAAATATACATAACACGTTTCATTTCATAAATTACACCATAAGTTGAAAAAAAGTTTTTTTTTATTTCTGTAGGGTTAAAAGACGTTATTTGATATGAAAAAGGTAACTCGTTTAGACTATCTTGCATGTCTGACCTTTAAAACACTTTTTTTTTTCAGCAAATCCCCTCTAAATGTCAGTTATCTATGAGAGGATTTTCAATGATAAAGTGGCAAGTATTGAAATAGTATAATTTAATATCTCGGTGATTGATATTATCGTAAGTTGTATTTGTGCTTCCAGTGATTTTCAGTTACAAAATTGACGCGAATGGAAGAAGAAATAAAAAATTAGTCGGACGCCGACTTAATAAAACTGTTGCTTCCTTGTAACCATCGCCCCACCTATTACTGCGGTGCTGTGCGATAGAAACCGGAACCACGAGACTCAATATTATCTAAACAATCAGGTTTTTAAAAAATGCACGAAAGCTCATGCGAAATCGTTTTCAGTTCGTAAAGTTTCAATTCGTTTGAACCTGCATATTTTTTCATTGAAAACGAATGCGCATGACTGTCGAGCTTTCCGACTCTATCTGCTACTCAATAATTGTTCACCTGTCGCTGTTATAGGTTATAACATATGTTAACAGCTTGGCTAATACAAGCTTGTGTAGCTCCGCATAATAATTATCAACTGTTTGTGTTATGAGGTTTATTTTATATTCGTAACTTATTAGTTTTTGTAAATACTCTGACCATAAAAAAGGAGTACCTGTTTTATTGAGGGGGGGGGGGATTTCATATTTTTTGTACTCACTGTATCATATTTAAAGATCAACAGCTTAGTCAGACCGAAAAGTATACACTTACTCTGCCGCTAGGTGTTCAAAGTGATATTGCACAACATTAATTAAACTTTTCGTGCATTTTGTCTAAATCCTCACCCCCTTTTTTTAATTCTCCATTCAACTGAAAATTTCACATTTTCGGTAGATCATTAGATACACCTTTAAGTTCTAAGAATAAGATTTCAAAATGGGAACCCCAGAACCTGCTTGGAATACCGCAAGAGTAGCTAGACACGAGGGTCATTCAAACAGGTAACCCGTACCCTGGAGCTGTCGTGCAAGTGGAAGAACATTCCTGTGTGTAAGAGTCAGGCCATGCGCGTGCTTGCACTGTGGTGAAGGTTCCCTGTATTATAAAGCAAGGAATCGTAGAGAAACCCATTGTATTCGTTTTGTTTGTTAGAAGGCCTTGTCGAAATATGAACAGAAAAAAATTATATGATGTCATCTTAAAATATGTTTTTCTTTGTGTGTTTGTTTTTGCTGTTAAGCACAAAGCCACACAATGGGTTATCTGTGCCGTGTCCACCACGGGTATCGAAACCCGACTTTTAGCGTTATGATCCCTCACACTTACCGCTGAGCATCATCCTAATTACAAAGTAAAGACACCATTTATAATACAATAGCATTGTATTAGGGATATCGTATTTTAATGTCAAATTTCTTTTGTGCAGCATAGAAACGGATCGAAAGGCATTATTTTATTTTCCCATGTATGTGTGTGAAGGAATGCTTGTGATATTGTTCTGTAAGAATATGTTCTATGACTCAACACTTTTACCGTTGAAATGTGAGGGGAACAACTCCCCATTTAGTGACTAAGTGAGCGGGACAGGTCCATCTCCGTGTAAAATTACGCCTATTTGTGTAATATATCATTGGGGAAATCCAGATTAACATTAAAATATGTTTTATACTTAGGATATATAATATTATTGAAATTTTCACCATTCAATGCCCACCAGTAGCTCAGCGGAAAGTCTGCAGGCTTACGACGCAAGAAAATCGCGTTTCGATACTCTTAGTGAGCACGACACAAATAGCCCATTGTGTAGCTTTGCGCTTAACAACAATCATCAAAATTAAACCACCACCCAGTCTCCCAGTTATGCATCTTGACAAAAAAAAAAAAAAGGAAAAAAAGACAAATTCATTGTATCGTACCAAACATTTGCATAATTTTCGATACGTAATATGTAGCTATTAGTCATAAGTAGGATATCATTAGGTAGATATTGGAGTTTTAATGTGTAATTTACAAATATTTATAGAGACGGTATAAGCATACTAGGATGTTTGATTCGTGGATTGACGTATTTATAATTGATCGTGAGTATGAGCAGCAGAGAAATGAAATATCGTGAACAAGATTTTGTACATATCAAATTCTTCGAAAATCTTAGAGACTTCTTTCTCTAAACTGTAATAAATAGATTGATCTAATGTTCTTAAATTAAAAGTCAACTTAAACATTCGTTTTAAAAGTGGAGAGAAAGAGAGAGGCGAAGTTTTCTGTCTTAGCGAAATAACCTGTTTCTTGTGCAAACAAAGATACAATATGAACAAGTCATTTGTGTCATTCCATCCTTGAACTAATTCTTGTACGATATGAGCAAGCACCAAAACTACGCCATTAATGTGGATAGCGCTAGTGACCTGATTGATACTACGCCAACGCAGTATCGAGCGCAGCCTTGGGAAGGTTGTCTATTTCACATACCGTATTTACCTGTGTATAAGACGATATTTTTACTCTTAAAACAATGCCTGATTTTATCCTTCGTCTTATACACAGGTTCAAATATAGAGTTCCAGTAAGAAAACTTCCGTTAATAGCATATTTAACCCAAACTACGTTGTTCCTTTTACTTTTGTTTACTATTTTGAGTAAGTGCGTTGACATCCTGCCACCTACTGCGTTACAGTAACATATTTATAATTGTATCATTTGTCTTGATTCTTCATAACCAGAAGTTATTTACCTCACATGCTAGTTACAATTAAACAAGACATTTTTTATTTGAAATGTACTGATCTCATCCGTCATACTAAAATATTGTTGATATTATATAAAAAAGAGTTAGTTTCGGTAACGTACACTAATTCTGTAAACATGTTTTGATAGCGGAAGGGTTAGTATTTTTTGTGTGATAGAAAAGAAGTTCAACTGTGATGACAACTTTGTAAAGTTGTTTATTACATGTTTATGACTTAAGTTATGCCTCACTGAGCTGTCTTTAGCATTTGAAGAGGATAAACAACCTTACTTGTGGTTGTATTGATTACCCCCAAAACGCAGGTTAGCACAGTTTAAAAATAACTTTTAAGAATGTCTTTACAAAAGTAAAACTCTAGACTTGCTTGACAATAGAGGTCGTCCCATACTCCAAACCTCAAAGAAATACACTTAATTTGCTCAAAAAGTATAGGGTTGTCTTACACGTTGGATCGTCTTATACACCGGCAAATACGATATAATGTATTTCAACGTGTGCACGACAAGTAAAAACTATCAAAAGATGCGTAAATTTAGAACAAACTATAAAAGTTAAAACATGGTTTATACTGCAATATACAAAGTCGTCTCAATTTTCAGATTGGCCTATTATTACTGTTAAAATTTTTTTAATAGGCATGGTTAACGTGCTCGCCTCGCAGTCTAAGGATCGCGTGTTCGAATCCCTGTCCAACCAAACATGCTCTCTTTTCAGCCATGGGAGCGTTATAATGTGATGGTCAATCGCATTATTCTTTGGTCATAGAGTAGCCCAAGAGTTGGCG